CTACTCTTTTTCAGAAGTAACTTTACCATTCCCTGGTAACTGGGAGCTACCTGTGGTTCAGAATAGTTTATTTTTATTAAAATCTTCTGCTTAGAATTTTGGTCCAGGTATTGGCTTTACATATCTTTGCAAATTATATATTACATGAAATTGGGCTGGTCTCACCCTGGACATCTATTCCATTCACATTCTACGAATGAAACATTTCCTCATCTGCCTATCCCCTCTTTGGCCATTAATTTTAAATTCTTCTATCAATCAACAGTTGCCAGTGCCTAGCAGGTGCTAGGCCCAGAGCTAAACCCACATGTGATTCAGCTTCTGGAATTGCCCTTAGTTTTCTGTCTTTCTTCTCCTCCCTTATTAGCTCTTCTTGTCTCTGTGCTCTGAGGCTCCCACACAGAATATAATACCCCACACAGGATGTCTTTCCCTGTGTAAACTAAAATAGTCCTGGCTTCTGTATGCCCAGATCCTTTCTCACCTCACACTGACCTCATGTCTGGTCTTGCCTTCAGTCTGTCCGGTGGGAAGTGCTGTTACTGATACAGGTTTCAGAGCTTTTTTTTGCAAACTTTGAATCCATTCATATTTTCTCTCCTCTCCGCATTTGAGCTACTAACTCGTCGGGGTCAGATACTGGCTGCTGTTTTGTGTGTTTCATCCATCAAGGGGTTCAATTGTATTTCAGGAAAGTAACACACTGTCTTGTCTTAAATAACAGATTCTCTTAAAAACCCCTGAAACTGGGTGAGACCATAGAAATCTCCTGGTTCTATTCCTTTTTATTAATGGATTGAAAAACTGAGGCTCAGGGAGTCAAGGACTTGGCAGCAGTACTTACAGGAGTATCTGCCTAGGCAGCATCAGAACTCAACCTCTGTCCTCAATTTGGTGTTTAGATCTTTAAGGTTGTCTTTTTTAAAAAAATAAAAAATATGTATAAAAGAGCAAAAGCATATTGAATCAAACACATGCCAGTGTGGTTTGGCATGCCATTTCATCCTGAGCATCTTGACCTTGAATTTATTATTATTATTTGCTCCCTTGACACTCTGGTAGCTCACCCTGATTTGTTGCTTTCTGAACTCAGAAAAACCTAGGTATCCTTTCCAAGGATTTATTGATCTCTTATGAACATGCTGAGTCTGCACTGCATGGTCATTAGCAGCCACCTCTCTACTGTTGCCTGACCAGTTGTCTAAGACTTTTGCTGGGAATTATGGTTTATTTCTGCATAAAATGTTGCCTTTGGACAAAAGTGAGACTTACTCCTCAAGAGTTTACCCCAGCCCTTCTTCTCCCCACCCCTTGACTTCCTTCATTTTGGTTCCTTATTTCATTTTTCACAGAAAGTTTGTCATGAACAGCCCAGGTGAAAGGGGCTCTCTTTTCTAGTTTTTCTTGCAGTTTTCTGTAGTATATGAGTTTTGTTATTGCCCTCCATTCCTCTGGTTTCTAATTGTGCTGAAAGTGTGCTATCCCACAAATTGGGAGTAAGTGGGATAAATCATCTGCCCCTCCCCTGTCTATTCCCTGGTCTTAGTTCTGTCCTCTGGAGCAACACAGAGTACATCTAATCCCTGCTAGTATTTTAAGATTATGATCCTATCCCTCTTACATGGCTCCTGTCTCTCTCCCTATGCACTCTTTTAAAGGATAAATATAAGTGTTTGCATCTGAGCAATGTTGTCTGACCTGTGCATAGGCCAGGAAGCCTTTACTGGAATATTCTATTTCCATTCATTGGTTTTGTTTTGCAACACCATCATACCCTTTGCCTGTGGTCAACTAAATCCTCTGCCTCTTTCCTTTCCCATAGAAATTGCTGGTAAACCTGGTCTCTATTATTCTCTACTTATATCATTTGCTGTTTTTAAACCCTTATTTATCATGTTAATTCATAATTTTGCTTGGATTCATTCTCCAGCTGATTATTAAAATCCTTTTGAATTCAAATTCTTTTCCATAATCCTTTACATTTCCTCCAAACTTTTATTGTGTTCACATTTAATACATGAATATTTGGTATGTTAAAATTATAGATAGAAATGTTCAGTATGCTATGGGGTCAAGGCAAATAAGTAAAAAATGATAAATGAAGGGAACCGGCTTCCTTACTGGCAGGAAGGGAAGGTAGATATATGTAGGGGAAGGCTTGCTGTATCAATGGCTTGGAAGCCATGTGTGTATGTAAATGATTTAGCCATAAATGATTTACATAAAAATATGTCCTCACTCTGTCCACTGAGAGGGTCTGGGAACAGGAATACTTCAGCAACATCAAACACATTCTGGGCTCATGTCTTGGTTTCTAACTCCAATTCTCCAAAGAAAAGGACCAGGGTGCTGTGGAGAAATGATTTTCTAAGACTGGGCCTTGGAAAACCCAGGACTATCCTGCCACACCTCATAGTAGCATAAAGTGAAGAGTGGTTCAGTTATGTATGAGTGGTAGCTCATCAGACAGCTGATCAAGCGCCCAACAGCCAAATATATATAAAATTGAGCAAATGCATAAGTAATATAGTACTGTACTATATTACTGTATTATACACAACTCAAGGTATAAAATAAAGATACATGGGTGCATGTTGTCAGAGATAAATGATTTAATAAATAAGTAGGTGGGAGAAAAAGGGACACATACACCTTACAACAGAACTTTCAGTAAATTACACAGATATTCCTCCACCCAAGCCATGCTAATTTCCCCCATCTCCCTATTCTTGCCCTTGAGGGTGGCTAGACTTAGTGCTTCTCTTCCACAGAATAGAGTGGAGAAGGGAAGAGGGAAATTCACTTGGTACTGGCCAAACTTAGTAAACACTACCTCAGACCAATAACCAAAATTAATACTATCTGTAATAAATCATACAAATGGATATACACTTGCACAGATATGATAGAATGATACTTCCTTTATTTTCTTCCTCTCCAAACCCATTAACTGCAGTCTGTTCACAAAAAAAAAAAAAAAAAAAAATCAAAACAAAGCCAACTGAAGGACATCCTACAAAATACCTGTCCTCAAAATTGTGAAGGTCATCAAAAACAAGGATAGACTGAGAAAGAATAAGGGAGACTAAGGAAACATGGCAAGAGTATCTTTACAACTATTCATATAGGCTGAGATTATTCTTTCCAAAGTTATTACAAAATGAAGAGGAAGCAATATTAATAAGCAATATTCTTTTTTTTAAAAAATGTGCTCAATTGATCAAGAACAAGAATCCTGTGATAGTCTACTAGTGACTGCTTGTCCATTGGCATCAATACATTAGTTGAAATTTTTCTCCTCAAGCAGAATAATCACAATCCTCCCATGTGTGGTCTAGGTGCTCTCGCTGGACAGCTTCTCATGGAAACCACATCTTTAGCACCAATGTCTTTCCAGCATGATAGACAGGTTCAAGTTCAGGAAACTGGCACTTCCAAAACTGGTGTAATCTACTGTCTTGATCCAGACCAAGCTCAGATGCTCTTTAGCCTGATGATAATGAATTATTCTGGCTAAAAAGTTTCTACTTAGAAATCTTCTAGTATTTAAAGTTAAACATGTCTAAATCCAAGATCCACATTATGTTTTTCTTGGACACTCATATTTTCTGTGCTTTCCGATTACCAGGCAAGCTTCTATATTCTGGAAACCTGAACCAATAACTTCTGAGTTATCTATGAATTCCCACTTCTTCATCTCCCAAGAATCAGCCCACCAGTGTCCTGTCAGGGAAGTTGCTTACCATTATCAGATTCTGTTTTTCATTTGTGCAATGAGTGATCCTTTCCCTAGTCTAGGTCCACAGAACTTCTCTTGATCATAGGACTATTTTACTTGAAGCCTCAGTGTCTCTGATTTCTCTTTAAATAAAACCTGCCACTCTTAGTCATGATCTTCATAACCCTCTGTCAGAGATTTTCCCACTTGAAATGCCCCATGAAATCCATCTTAGTTCTTCTTTCTTATGTCCTAAATCTAACTGGTGGCTGGAATTTGGTACCTCTCCCCTCATAGTTTGATTCATATAAAATGTACTTTTTGGCCTCTGTTCTTTCTCCTGGACCCCAGTCCAGACCACTCCCATTGTATATCATACTCCCTCAAGAATCTTTCGAGTTAGATTTCCTTCATGACTCCAGCTGTTATGGCAAAACTTTGACACATATGAATAGCTGTAAGGAATATATCTCTTCTTCAATTTCTAATTCTTGTTTTCTCATTTTATTTGACTGTATGTTGTTTGGGTTTAGGTATGTGTACTTTAACAACTTATTTATTTACACATGTATTAAGTGTTATTTGAACACAATATATATTAAATTAAAAATCATGCCTTTTGAGTTTATTAAACATGCAATCTTCACAGTGGATTATCAAAAAAGGAAAGAAAAGAACAATAACACACTAGTATTTCTGGATTAGGGTTTGACATTTCTGTACAGTTATCAGTTTTAAACATGGAACCTGTGTTGTCCCTGTTCTGCCAGGATATATTCACTTGCATCATCCTGGGGTGGACAGGAGCCCACACATCTCTGCCTGTGGAGTTTCATCCACTAGCCTGATACTCACCCATGTCAGTCTGAACAAATGGTACAAGAGACAGCCACTGGTTCCTTGTGAGAGACTTTGCAGAAGAAATATAGAATATAATACCTACACTTCTTTCTTGATATGTGAGTTCTATAATGCTTTTTATTAATGTTTTTAAGTTTCCAGAGCAGTTTGTGTTTGGCAAACCCAGCCTGAACTTAAAAGATCTATTCTTTCTAGATATAAGCTTTAAAAAAAATAATAACAAAAAAGCGAGTATTACTGTCTTTCCTTTTCTTTCTTGATAATCAGGCCACTGTGCCCTACCAGACTCCACCAATCCGCCATAAATGTTGATTTCTCTTTGCTATACAGAGAGGTCATTTCCAGAATCTGGGGCCTTTTCCTACGTGCCACTGTGTCTATAGCCTCTCCCAGCGTTCTCTATTGCCTCCTGTGTCCTCAGGTGGAAAAGCAATGGTGCCTTTACAAGCCTCCACCATGTGATCTGAGCCTGCCATGAAGAAGACTGAGTGGGGTTAGAGCAACAGAGGAATGGCCCTGGAGGCCTGCTTGTGTGTAGGTGAGTATCTGTTTAGGTGAGTGTGTACATCTGTGTGATTTGTGTGTGTGTGTGTGTGTGCATGTCAATGTACGAGGGTCTGTGTGTGTGTGTGTGTGTGTGTGTGTGTGTGTGTGTGTGTATCGGGAATGTGTGTGTCTGACCTCAACATGCAGAAGTGTATCCTGGGCCTGCCACTTCCCTTCCATCTCACCACAGCAAGGGAAATCCAAGGCCTTCTGTGGTCTGAAATTGTGCTTTGCACATCCACGATCTGTGCGTCTTCGATCCTCCCTCTCACTTTAAGCGTATGGATAACATGCATTGAACTGCAGTTTGTAGTGAGTTTCTACTTTTCTGAGAAACTGAAAGAATGAGAAACTGGGAAGAAGAGAATGTGACTTTCACCTTGCATATCCACAGGCTATCTCAGGCTCCCTGGGGGAGCTGACTTGTGGGCTCAGTGTTCTTTGATCAACTTTTGGATGTCTTGACTTATTGGCTTTGAATTGATCTATTGATTTAATAAGAGTCACTTATCACTATCACTGGTTCAAGATAAAGCACTATTTATCTCTGGTTTGGCAAATGTCATCAATAATAGATGCTGTGCTGATCTTAAGTGACTAATTTCCATACGATGATCATGGGAAAACTCTATCACTGTTACAGTTTGATGTTTTTGTGTGGAACTAATGCTGCCACCCTGCCAGCTGGACCCAAGCCTGGGTTCTGCATGTTTGGTGACCTCATTTTACTGACTGAAGAATGAAACCACCAATTGCAACTCAGGACAGGTATGGACTGAGGCTGGGCATCTGGTTTTATGGTGTGCAACTAGGGCCTCCACGGGCCATCCTTTCCTGGCAGTCCCCAGGATATGACTGGTTGAGTGAGCCTTCCCCTCCATGGCTAGCTGGGTTTTGGAGAAATGGTGGAAATGAGGTCATCAGCCATGCGGACTCACTTCCTCTGGACATTAATAGCCAAGTGCGCAAAAAAGAAGAAAAGCTGCCTGTCCAGCCACTGTGTATACAAATGCCCTCCATGACTTCTGTTCTTGCTAACAAAACATAGACCACACGACCACACACAGATGTGTGTATACCCCAACTCTTAAGTGCACACGTGAGCACACACATACACACCTCTAACTCCACTGTTACCCTAACACAGAATCCACTTTCTACACACATAAAATGTATAGCAACAAGGTAAAATGTCATTAGGTCTGTGGAGTTTTCAGCATTTTCTCATTTTGCTCCAAACCTCAGAGTTATGTCCCCAGTTCCTACCCCAGCTGGCCATGCTGGGAGTTCCCATGCCAACTCCGCATGTTCTTGGGGGAAATGAAAGTTGGCCTCCCAAAAATCAAAAAAAGGAAATGAATCTAGCTGGCTGCATCCTTTCTTTGCTCCTTCATGCATTAATGTATCACCCTCTTTAGCACCTTTTAGTCCCCTTTGTTTCACTGTTAACAAGGGAACAACTTCTCTTCTGTCTGGGGCACATTTCCTGTAAGTGCGAGCCAGGTCTGCAAACTAGAGAGGAAATCCATAGAGCCTGGGTCTGACTTGCCTCCAGTGCCTCCGCTTTGAATAGCACTAATTAAAGACAACACAGCATTTTCTTTACCACGACTCTCTGAAGGCAAAAACCAACTCTTGAGACACTTCCCCAAAATCCACATCTCCACCCCCTCTATGCTGACGGATACCAATCTCACTTAAAGAGCTAGTGCCTTATGAAAGATCATACATTAACATCTTTTTCATTTTTATTTTTTTAATTGTGGGTTTACTCCTCTACATATAAAGGAAAACTGCTTCTCTTAATGATTAATTAAAGTTGCTATTAAAACATTTGTAGCTATAATCAGAAACTACAGCTTTGTTATCCCTGACCAAAGCACTCATTATTATAAATTTCGATGTCTGCTGGTCTAAAATAAAATTTTTTAAATCTGAAGAAAGGCAAACGAAATGCTTTCCTCAGCATTTATTTAAGCTCCATAAGTTTTTAAAAGTCTGAAACAAAAAATCTCCCATAGTTATTATACAGAGTTGCTAATATTTCACATCCTCACATTCCTCAAATTGCTATGCAAATTGCATAGATAGGCTGTGTGCATTCTTAGTCAAACAGACACAGGCAGCTTTGGAATTAAATATGCAGGCTTTATTATCAAGCTTATTGCTGCTGGACTCATTGAAGATTCTGGTTCATTTCCTGCCTTAGATGTTTTGAGTATTTAGAGGTTTCCAGTGACAAGACAGAGACATATCCTTAGCTTTTTCTATATCTTCCTCCCTTCCATCCTAAATCTCCCCCTAACAGAGGCCAGAGGTCTTAAAAAATTACAGGGCCAAATCCACTGGTGAAGATGTTCAGGAAAGAACAGGAACTCCAGTTTAACAAATGCTTCTTAGCTCTTTTTACTTGGGTTTTGAAAAAAATGTTGGCATGTGAGTGTCCCTCACTTTCAAACACTGAGAGGATGGTATAGAAAAGTATAGGGAAACAAGAAAACAGATGAACTGAAATCTATTTTACTCACAAAAAGATTTTTCATTTCCTAAAGCTTTGTCACGGCAGTGAATTTAATAGTTAATTTAACACTAATGCACTTATGATTTGCAACAATTATTTCTTAGATTGAGGAAAAGCAAAGGGCAGGATTCTGGATTGGCCTAGAGGATTTTGTTTTGTTTTATTTTGTTTGCTAATTGCCCAGGTTGGGAACAAATTTGAAAGCCTTAATCTTCCAGAGTGCTGGGATACAAGCATTTGCCATCACTCCTGGCCTGCCCTTGAGCTTTGAGTCTGATGGGCACCTATGGGACTGCAGAAGAATATAAAAATGCTGGAGGAGGCTCTCTATGGATTTCTTTGGGAGGCCTGGTGGGAAGGGCGAGAGTCCAGAGGAACAGTGGCAGCTGTGACAATGTTTGTGAAGTGTACATCACAGTATCTGATATCAGACATCTGTAACTCCTTAACACATGAGGATTATTGTTAAGGTTTGTGGTCCTAGAGAAAGCCTGTCAATCATATTGGAATCAAATGATTGAAAACAGACTAAAACCAATCAAAACCAAGAATAAAAGCATTATTGGCTTTTGAGTCAAAATGATAGGAAATCATCAATGGCTACCATGGTGTCTTGTTTTCTTCAGTGTAGTTGTTCATACTAACACACATACTACAATCAATTCTTGTAAACCCTTTAGGTGAGGTTCAGTTCTAGGCATATATAAGCATATACGTGTACAACTATCCTTTCTGTATTAGAAGAAAAGCAAATCAACAAATAAATAACTATATGTAAGAGCCCAAAGCAACAACAGTGTAGACATTCAAAACAAGGAACATAACAATTTTTGTTATTTTGCATAGTTATCTTCATAAGTCTTATTTGAATAACCAGATATAGTCATACAAAATTGACCTAATCCTACAGATGTTATCTGTTTTGTTCCAAGAACTAATAGAATTTGTACTACAATCATCTTAGTAATTTTTTTTTTTTTTTTTTTTTGTGGTACCAGGGATTGGATCAAACTCACGATCTCATGCTTGCTAGGCAGGAGCTTATCTCTAAATCCTCACTCCCATCTTAGTAATCTTAAGTGTGGTAGAATTTTCAGGACAGTTAAAAAGATAGAAATATGAAATAAAAGTAGCCTTTATTTTAAGAACAGGAAGAGAGAACCCCACAATCACTGAGGTCTGGCTTTTCTCTCTGCCAGACATGTGGTGTGGGGGGCATACATATAGCTTAGGTTTGGGGTGGTGCCTAAGGGGGCATTACATCACAGGTAGCCCATTGGAATTCGTTTCACACCACAGGTAAATTGCCTAGGGGCGGGAAGATGACCTCAAGATAGAGCCCCTTGGTTCCACCTCCCAGCCTCCCACCGCTGCAGTGTCCCATTCAGGGCAAAATCCTTTCAAAGTGTATATATACAAATTTATATCTTATTTCATTTCTCTTCTTTCTTTTCTCTTTTTCCCTGAGTTATTTTTTCTTCTTTGAGCAGTTTCTTACCCTTTCACAATATTTGTTATTTTGTATCTTATTTATTCTTTCAGTTTCTTACACTAGGGAGACAATACAGTATTTACACATGGGAGTTTGATTTATTTCACTTATGAATATGATATCAAGTCATATCCATTTACTTATAGAAGCCTCAATGTGGTCTTTCTTTATAGCTGAGTAGTATTCCATTATACAAAAATACCACATCTTTTTTATCCATTGTTCAGTTTATGGGCATTTGGATTGTTTTCAAGATTTAGCTATTTCAAATTGTGCTGCTATAAACATTGGTGCACATATATCCCTGTGTGTATATGATGTCCCAGAAGTGGAGTAACTGGGTCAGCCAATCCCAGCCTTTTGAGAAAACTTCACACTGATTTCCACAGTGGTTGCACCAGTCTGTACTTCCACCAACAGTGTAGAAGAGTTCCTTTTTCCCCACAGCCTCTCCAGCATTTGTTATTGGTGGTTTTCTTGGTCCTGACTATTCTTTCTGGAGTGAGATGGAAACTCAGTGTGGTTTTAATTTGCATTTCTCTAATGACCAATGATGTTGAATATTTTTTCATGTATTGATTTGCCATTTGTATTTCTTCATCTGAGAAGTATATATTCATCTCGGATGCCTATTTTTGGGTTGGGTCTTTGAATTTTGGGGTCTGATTTTTTAAAAAATTGTTTATATGTTCTAGATAGAAGTCCTTTGTCTGAGGGATAGCTGACTAAGATTTTTTCCCAATTCGTTGGTTTTCTTTTCACTCTGTTTGAGATTTCTTTTGACATGAAAAAAACTTTTAGTAAGATGAGATTCCAGTCATTGATTCTGGAAAGTATTTCCTGTGCAGTTTGATTTTTGTTCATGACTTCTCCTATGTCTTCAAGATTTCTACCTACGTTGTCTTCCAGTATATTTAGTGTTTCTGTTTTAATATTTAGATCTTTGATCCGCTTGACTTTAGTTTAGTACATGGTGATA